GGACGAAGTAGATGAGCCGGTGTGGTGCATCCGCATGCCCATACAGATCGTGGGGCCCGTCTCCGCTCGCCGCGCACCTCTCACTGCACCCGCGCCATCTAACTCCACAATCTCCATACATAATATTTAAAAATAAAATACTGTAATGTACTAAAATACTCCTAATATAAGATATAAGGTTTATTATTAGAAAATGTGTTTTATTAATGAAACCTGTAAAAAGTTGTATTGCATATTTTACTCAATAAAAACAACGTTTTTAACGATGGTGAACATTTACTTATATCTTATACATTTATTTAATTATTTAAATAAAAGCGCCAAGTAGCAAAAAACTAATTACACCTCTTTTCCAGCTAGCAACAAACATAATCTGAAATAGAAATTAGGTAAAGAATATAAACGTATTTAAAAATATAAAGACTTAACGCACTCTTTACGCCATCTATTGGTAAAACTTTTGTTTAAAGTATTTTTGGAATGAATAATAGATGGCAGTAGTTGTACAGTTTTGGAATGGTTGTAAAAGAGTCAAATGGTAGAAGTTGTATAATCTTTACAAAGAATAATAGATGGCAGTAGTTGTACAGTTTTGGAATGGTTGTAAAAGTTTCAAATGGTAGAAGTTGTATAATCTTTACAAAGAATAATAGATGGCAGTAGGTATTTTCTTATCCAGATCAGCAACAATATCAACTCTTAGAGCAAAAAATAAAACTTTTTTATTAGCCTTCGGATTACCTTTTAATATCGCCAACGGATGATTACTACAATGATATGGCCGGCGGCTTGTACATAAATCTCACGTTAGATCTGGATTGAATATGAATAGTAAAGAAACAAAAATAGCAAAGTTGCTAAAAATTGGAACTAATTTCTTGTAATGGCAACACCAACATAATTTAAATAAAATTCGTTGCTAAGTTGCCATGACTTTTACATTGTTGGTGATGTCAGTGTTTTATTTAATTTGTCATGTTTAGAGTTCGTGATAAATAATGATTTTATAATGTTGTGTTCATAGCAGCGATTCTCGCCAACATTTTCTTAATTGTAATTTACATAACTAGTTGCGATGTTGATTTAAAATGACCATAGTTGGCATTTACGAGGTTACAAAAATTTAATAACAGATGGCGCTAAATGTTTGCATTAGTTGCAGTTGCAACGTAAAGGTGTGACGTCATATTGCGGTGTTACTAGTACAGTTCACATAAAAGTTACTTTTCTTTCTAATTTCTTCTTAATTATATTGTGTTACATTTACGGTCGCAAGGAATAAGACTTGGTCTTCAATAAAATATTTGATTTTTAATCTTGAGAAGTAACTATAAAATTCATATTATTTTTAAAAGCCCCGAGTTGCGCAGTGTGCAGTGTTCTCCCCCATACCCCTTTACGCCTAACCATACTTACCTAATATTGCTATTCTGCGCAGCTACTCGTCATGTCCCAAGCAGCTAATTTATTTGAAAACTCATGTACTATATAATAATTATAGCCATCACAGTCGTTTTCTGTGCAGATTTAATTTTTTATTGCGTATAAAGGACTCGTTAAATACACATTTTGCACATCTTCAATAGAATAGTTATTTCCTTCAGTAGTAATTATGAAATACTAGCAATTAGTATGTTTAGGTACGTATTCAGTAATGTACAAAAATACCTGCTAACGGTACTATACAATTACTAGTAGTGAGGAAAAATACAAAACGCTTTTGAAATCGTATTTCACGCTAAAAAAACAATGAAGTATTATTTTTTACATCGAGTAAATATCAACCAAAGAATAATGTGTATTCTTGTAATATGAGTTACTTGTGTGTTAGTGTATTTCTATCAAGAAAGGACGAAAACATCGATCAGCAACTCGTTGCCGCTCCTCCGTATGTCGTGCGACGTTGCCGGTCCGCTCCGTACATACTGGTTTAGAATGAGACAACAATATACCTATTTCATTTTTACCATTAACTATCTTTATTTCAATCAACACTAATCTTGAAGAAATTCTGTTCATTGTGTATATTATGGATTCAGTTACGAGTTGACATGTTATTTAATTCAATTCGAAATTTAAAAATGATATCGTATGCTAAAAATACGGCACAAAAACTGTCCCAACATGAGGTAATTGAAACTGGAAATTAGTTCAGAAGGTACATGTAACTACTAAAGCAAGTTGTTCTTCATTTGACCTTGTTGACTTGTAATAAATAGCGCACACATTCTGACCATTTGTTCCATTCGTCACAAAATATTTTTTTCTTAGTTATAGGTTGTAATGCTGTATAGCTTGTATGCTGCTGTATTTCTAAAACTGTCACAGAACATGATTTTTTAAGAAATCATCAGATCGGACATCTTGTTTCCATGAAGGGGTGAGTTGCAGCTTCCAGCAACAACGGCGCTTGCCTACCGCTGCCAGACCTGAAAGTAGCATACATTGTTCTCGTTCTTTACCTGCATGTCCCATACCGCCAGGCAAATTAAGTAACAAAAGTAAAACCTATTGTTATTTATCAAACCTAATTTAACAATAATAAACGAAAAATTATGCTTAAAGGAAATACGATCTATTACCTACGCAATAAGATCTATTATTCAAAAATAGATACTTGAAAGAACCGGTTATCCTTAATCCTTGCTCGCCACGAAACACGTCGCAGAGTACGCTTCTTTACGAACGGGGTAAATAAAATGATCTTAAGTTGTGCATAAACACACTAGCTTCCGCCTGCGACTCCGTTCGCTTGGTATTAAAAAAATGGTAAATAGCTTATGTGTTCTTCCAGACTATCCTCCACATCCATACCGAATATGCCAAAAATGAAATTATTTTCATACTCGAAAATAACGTAAGTTTACAGGCCCATGACAAATCAGTATGCCATCTTTCTCGAATTACGCGACTTTATACACGTCGAGTTTCAAAATGCGCGGGCAACAAAATTGTGACACATTTACGGCAAAATATTTGGCTATTCGCGGGTACTCACAGCATATGTGTTATAGTGTCTTTAATAAATTCGGCAATTTTTAAGAAATAATTATTTACTACTTGCATGTTGGAAATTGCTAAATATTGCAGCTTTGTCCTTTAATAAACGCTGTTTTTTGTTAGATTTGGCACTACGAAGACAAATGCATTTTTCATTGTTTGGCAAAATATCTGAGTATCTTTAGACAATTAACGCAACCTAACAATTTCATATAAATTGCTATTCCACAAACCCGGATTTCTCGGTCTCTCTCTTGGATTTTCGGAACGAAACCACCGCATTGTGAAATTTTATTATATTTGTAATTACATTAGAGAATGTACTACTTAACGTCACGCTTCGTAAAAAAAACAAATGATGACAACATAACTTTGCAGTTTTAATTTGAATAATATGGACTCCGATATCTGCAGCGTCGCGCGCCAATGCTACTGTCGTTCACCATCTGCCGCGTTTCGCGAAACACACATTTGAACTCAATCCGTAAACCAAAGTTCAAAGAAATTCCATGTACTGTTTATTTTTTTTAAAAAAAAGAGACTTAGATATCGGAAGTACAGTCTCGATTGTTACGTCGACTCTAAAACTCGATTAGTACAGATGGAATCTGAAATGGTCTACCAAAAAGCCTGAAAGCAAACAGTTAACACTTTTGTCCTAATTTCCTGTCCCGTCTGTTATTCCCGAAATAACGAAAGTACGAACGCTTCTGTAGACTTCATATTGATTTATCTTAAGTTATGTTGAAAAGGAAATTTCGATGTATTCGTTAAACCAATCCAAAGGCGGAATCTTTCTATCATCGCAGATATGTTCGCGACTATATTATTTACAAAATATTAATGTAATTGATGTTGAGATATATATATATTTATTAAGACTTAGTTATTCGAATTAAGGTACGGATTATTTTACTTTTAATTAAACCAAATCATAAACACTACCGATGAATGTAAGAATGCATTTTGACTTCTCGGTTGCTATATACTGCATATGCTGGGATTTACATGGAATCTACAAGCATGTTATCATGCTTAGTTAGCACGATATTTGCTTTATGTACAAATAAGTAGAAATTGCCGCATTTATTCAGTAAACAATGCCTTCTCGTGTCTTGTACGTTTTTCTATAATTAGCATAGTTTATTTACATTTAACTTTTTCATTTCCACTTAATAAACCCACTTTCCTAACAGATAATTTTCAAAACAATAACCAACTATGACAATACATTTTACACTTTTACGTAATTACCCGAACTTATCAGCAAAGTAATGAAATCACTATGAAAATGTATTATGCATTTCAATTACAGGAGATAATAAAAATTGTGATTTTTGAAAACATACGCTTTTGACACTGACATTAGCAAACTGTATTATAAAACAATCATAACAAACCTTCTTACAAATTCTATAATGAGACTTTTACGAACGCAAGATCTAAATGAGAGAATTATTTTTTCTATCACCACCGCAGATCACTTTATATCGCTGGCTTTGAAATATCTAACATACGATTCAACAAAAATTACGATAACATTTAGATAAAAACTTGGCGCGCTTTCATTTGATACTCACATTGAATACGACCTCTTTTAACTTTTTATATCTGGCCAGAAAAAACCGAGAAGAATATTCCAGAAAAACAATGTTTAAATGCGTACAGAAGACTTGCGTGCTAACGTGAAATAAATAAACTTGAAAAATTTTACAACTCGAAAATTAAGACAACACTATCCTCGCGAAACGTGTATTACTACCGACGTGGCTGCCCGTCGATTGAATTTTAGACGGAGGCGCTCCGCAGCCGGCGGTGGGGCGTTGCTTGCCGCATTGCTCGGTATCCATTTTGAACACATCGCACAGTCTCGTTCATCGTACGTCCTAGAGAGCTCACCCGCCAGACAAGAAGTATTGCACAGTCGCACAGGAATAATGGACGCTGCACTTACCAAACAAAAAAAATTGTATAAAGTTAATCATCGCGCAATTGTCGACTGTGACTAAAATTTCTGTTAAACATTCCTTTTATTGATTTAGACTAAAAGGTTAGTGTAAATTTAAAAGTTACGTTCGATACATTTTTTATCGGATTATTGTTCCTTTTACGTTGGCCATTAGCAACATGGCGTCTTTGCGTTTCGAGGTTTGCTATACAAAAATGTCGGACGTCACGAGTGAATAAAGTGAACAACAATGTTTAAATCCTTCCAGAAAAGATAATTATTGGTGATCGAAGTTTGAATCAATGCACAACAAATTTGAAGAGGTGCAATAGTTTTTTTTTCATATCAAAACAATAGCATACGGGCCTGTGAACTAAGTCGTTACATCATACTATCTCGTTTACAACGCCATAATTTTTAATTTCGGATAACAAGGGTGTGAGAATGGAGATTAACGTATTCTCTTCTTCAATTTGCTAGCTATACCTACTCAAGCGGAAGGGCAAGAATTTTTGCCGAATTAACTAAAATGTTTCAAATGCGAATCGAAATAAGGTATGTGAATTAGCATAAAATAGTATATTTTTTTTACTTTAGTAGGCCTTATTATAAGAAGTAATCACTTGTAAAATAATAAAATTCGACGACCCCTTTAATTATTTTTTTATATTAAACTAATTTAAAAAGTCGTGGCGGAGAAATTTAGCTGTGTTTCGATCCCTTGCATTTATTTGTTAGCTAGCCTGAGTGTTGTAAAAAAAAAGGTAATAGGAGGGCGCCCGCAACTCAGGGCCGCGACGCCATTTTGTTTAGTTGATCACTTCCATCGGAACGGCGCGACACAAAGCAAGCGCAACGCAACAGCAGCTCGTGGCAACCCGGCCTGAGTCTAGGCCGATTGGTTTCTTCATTCTGAGTGTTATATTGTGAGAGGTATTTACCAAAAAGTGAAGTGAAGAACTAACCTTATCCAGCTTTAAAATATCTAGGTATTCCCATATTCAAGAATATAATGTAATACGATGATTACGCATGCCTAAAGACTGTCAATATGGCGCCTGCTATTTAGCTCTCGCGTATTGTAGTAAGATTTTAGTGTCGTATATAATATTATTGTTTATATATCGTATTTAAATTTATTGCCAATTTTCCAAACATGACGCTACTTAATGCAGAAATTTGTTAAAACTTTTACATAGAGAAAAATTGTTAATAGGTCATAAACATGGTGTTGATACCCTAAATATTTGCATAAAATTTTAGTTCTTAAAAAGGTACGTGTTAATAGCGGTATAATGTGTGGTTCACACTTGGTCAGTGCAGTTGGACAGTAGTGCTCAATAACTGGACTGGCATTCAACTTGCATGACGTGACCATTAACGGACACCAGTGAGTCTATACAATCTATGCCAGCGCGACTGTCCCAACTGCACTAGCCAAGTGTGTACCGCGCATAACTCGTCAGATTCCAGTTGAATACACTGGTAACCTATTTTGTCCAGTAGTCCAAAGTCCAGTACCATTCTGTTGTAATGGAAGTTCAGCCTTCTTCAATTATCTTCTCTTTCTTGTTCGTCTTTTGTTTTTTTAACTTATTGGTTCCTATTAATATCGCGTTTTAATTAATACAATATGTTTTTCGATCACCATCGATTATATACCGGGAGAAATATACATAAATACTTATTTTAATCTAATAGATTTAATCACAGGTAGAACGGACTGTTCACTACGAGAACACTAGAACCCATTAAAGCCACGTGTTGTTCACTTCCATCTAACATTAATCAATTCTCATTATTAGCGTCAGGGTAAACTTACAGTTTACGTTTATATGTATATATTATGCCCATTATAATTTATAGTAATCATGATTCTAAAATCGTATCAAAGTTGATGCAGTTATGTTACCAATGGGGTTCATTTTTCATGCTTTCAAATAGACTTGCCTGTGATTTCAATTACTATATTATTTAGCGTACTGTGGACATTATCTCACTCATAGTGACTTTCTTATAAAAATATTTAATTGCCGTTTCCTTTCTGAATGTGACCTTAAATTTTGTGCGTGTACAATTTTAGTCCGATCTCTAAACGCTTCACTAATATTTTCTTTGCACATATACAAAGTTTAACGATTATTTTGTATGTTTCGGTCATGGGTCTTATTAAGGGTGGAATCAAATAAACATTTCTGTAAACTTAGAACAAAGAGGACTTTCTCGTCTTTATGAACAAGAGTACCGACATCTAATCTTGGAAGAGAGCTCTCACGTTTACTGCCATCTTTTTGAGCCGACCTTCGTTCTATGTGACGTGGAAACGTGATTCTTCTATCGAAATCTAAGCTAACATTGTTAAAGTTGAATCATAATTTTACAAACAAATTAGTAATCTTTTCGGATTTGTGTCTTGTGATCATGTGCTAAGGATGATTTATATTATTTTGCGTTGATTGTCGGCACTTCTTTATACTTTCATCTTACTAAGATAGTCTTTTAAAATACATTCATATTTTTAAACGTGTCTGGAAAATTATAAATTTAATTTAATTCAACTTAAATTTGGTCATTAATATAAGAAAGTACACGTAAACAGATTAAAATATCGATTTTATAGTAAGGTAATGATAAATGATTTAGTACTCAAAGACATGCTCAATATAATGAAAACTAATTTTGTGTGTGATATAAGAAACATTTTTAAAACACATTTTCAAATGTAAATTTAATTTATTGTTAATTTACGTTCTCTAAGTCATGTTTGTTTTATTTAAGTTTTTTACCAAAGTTTGTTGCATTTTAATATTTATCGTTTAAGAAGTTTTAGTTTCTTGTATATAGAAGTTTTCGATAATAAAAGGGCGTGGCTTTTGTAACACTCTGAGTATATGTTATATCTTACTAAGCTGTTCCAAACAAATTTAATTAATTCAAATTTGAACCGATTTTATTAATCCGCGAAGTTAAGAAATATTTAACGTCACCGTCGAGCATCACCAGACTATTGTACGAGTCTAGAGCGTGCGCACCTTTGACTAAATTAACGCAAAACTGTTGTGCGAATGTCGATTATTACGCAGCCAATTGAACTGTTTAGTTGCACAACTATACATCGATTATTGCGTTCACCTTCAAATTTGCTCATAGGAATCAAAGCCTCATTAAACGGTTGTGCGATAGTTTTGTCAAAGGTATGGGTACGCACTTAGGCACAGAGATTATAAAGTTAATACTGTTATAAAATTTAAGTAATCAGTGTAAGTCTTACTAATGTCATAAATGCATAAGTTTGTGTGTTGGCATGGATGTTTGTAAGAAGATTTTCAACTGACTAAACGGATGTCTATGAAATTTAGAATAGATGTATGATGAGCATAGTATGGATGAACGTGTTTGCTACCTAACCATGTTTTTTTTTATTCCGCGCGGACTGAGTCGCGGGTGGCAGCTAGTGTATTGTGTGTGGCAGTAACAAGCTACTCTTTGTTTCTTGATGTTTTTGTTCCTTGTCTGTTGAATCGCTGCAGCTTGAGTATAATGTTTTAACACCCCTTACTTAAATGGTAATTCTCTTACTTTCGACACCTATGTACTTAAATTATTGAGTGCCAGAATCAATGTTTTTGACTATTTAAATAGCATGACGAATGGTGACGTCACCGATACCGCGCTGGCCACCCGGATGGTTATTGTAACAAGTTTTGTCAACGTCATATCGTATAGCAGTATTGCCTCCTTACATGCAAAGAACCCTTTAAATTGTTACTCTTCAAATTAAATGTCGTGCTTTGTATGCAAGATTTTCATTGCAACTTATGGCTTGCATCTTATTAATTCGTTCTACTTTCAGCATAAAAAATGGAGACGGATTACGATCGCAAGTTCGAGGAGATGAAGAAATACATTCCGTTCCTGGAGAACATGATCGGTAGGCTGGAGAGCGCAGGGACTGGTAGCGGCAACCCGCGCCGGGCGCAGCTCGCCAAGATCCGCTCCCTAAGGGATCTCTTGTTGGATAAGAGAAAAAGGTTCATTTATTGTTCCAACCTTTTATTGTTCCACTCTTAATCATAAAACAATATCAAAATAACCATGTTAAAAATATCACAGCATCTGCTTGTCGATCGTTATTGCTCTTTAGTATTTCTTCTTGGGTTGTATGATGTTTGTGCTGAGGTTAAATTTAATTGAGGGTATGAGGTGCTCAAATACAGATAATCTTCAATTAACAGTCTAGTAAATGTACTAAACCACTTCAAAGCTTATATGTTTTTACCTGACTGACAAAGAGGGAACGCTTTTGTATATATGTAAGATTATTTTTATGTATGTGGATTTATATGAAAATAAAAATGTTCGTAATTTTTGAGAAGCTCTAAGTCACTTTATGATACAGCGCACTTATAAACTCATTGACAAGCAATCCGCTAAACCGAAACTATTTTATACATTTTCTGTCAAATCAGAATTAACCTCTCGTCTTTTCACAATACATCATTATTTTCTTCGGCCTTTGTATGATTAATATGACCCTGTAAAACATTTGTAGTTTTTCCTTGAGTCTGCTGTAACTATAAAGTAATGAGATTGATCTTTACTTTCTAATTATATGGCCATCTTCGTCTTCCTTTTTATCTCACTAATAGCAATTTACATGTTTTAGAATGAAAATGGAGAACTTGATGAAATGTGAACAAGTTTTAGTAAATTTATATGCAAAAATTGAACAGGTTAGAACATTTTAAAGTATTTGTAGAATTTTTTATAACTTTGTTTAATTTCTTTTGTGTGTGTTTATACATTTCTTTTGTTTTTTAGAGGGACTCATTTTTGGAGAGCAGTGACATTGGGAATCAAAATCCTCAGTTGGATTTAGTTCGCAGTAAACTTCAAAAAGTCGCCACACGACTACAAATCCCAGAGTCGCTGCCGGATATAGTAGGCCCAACTGGCAGTGATGAAGTCACGTCCGGGAGCAAAGAACCAGCTTTGTTTCAAATAAGAAAGAATAAGGCCTTATCTCCGGCGCGCTCTAAACTCGCTGATAGTGAGAAGAATTCTTCGTCATCAATATTACATAAAAAGAATTATACTCGTGTTCTGGTCTCCCCTAATCGAGAAACTAAGCCTTTGCCAACGGACATTTCAAAAACAGGATCTCCTATTCGAACCTCTAAAAAGTCGCCTCGAAAAACCACATCCTATCAAAATAAAAAAGACAGAAAAAAATCTTCGAGTCAGTCTCAGCAAACGACTCAGCTAAAAGACTTGAACATAACACTTAAAGTTCCCGAAGAAAGTTTAAATTCATTGAATACTAAAGATATCCTATCTCGAATTATTAACTGCAGCGACAATGATGTTGACATTGACACATTACGAGGTTTGCGAACTCAAATCCTCTCTGAATTAAAACAAACCGGTGCTAAAGACGATATATCTGATTTAATACTAGAATCTTACAAGCGCAAAAAGAAGTCAAGCTCAAAGAAGAAGAAAAAGGAATTCGAAGAAGGTGAATTATCTGACAGCGAAAGTGAAATTATTGAAAGCATTTATGGCAGCTTGGTGGTTGTGGATAAAGATCAAGGAACTACAAGTAATATCAATAAGGTGGATGAAAAAGATGAACTACCTCGAAAAATTCAAATATGTCTTGTAATTAATTCGGAGAAGGAAAGTCAAAATGAAACAATTACTACAAGTGAATTGTCAAAAAAAAAGCCGATAGTAGATTTATCTGATTTTGAATTCTATGAAAAAAATGAGACAAACATGAAACCAACTGAGACTGATACTGAAAAAAAGGAAACAACTAAACAATTTAAAGACAACTCTGAAAATACATCTAGTAAACCTGAGATAAATGAAAAACCTGACGGAGATAACGAAAAATGCGATAAAACGCCAGATTTACCTATCGATAACAATAGTTCAAATGAAAAAATTGAGAACTCTAATTCCATATCAAATACGGATTCTCCGTTATCCGAGATTTTACCGACAGACTCCAAACTAAATTCTACCATAGTCAGCTTAAATGAAGATAGTTCTTCTAAGAATCTACAACCGATATCGAACAGATCCTCAACAATGGCCTTAAATGAGAAAAGCAATGAAACTATATCTACAGAGACCCAACCACATGAAAATATAATGAAACCGGAAGATTCAATAGAAATACCATTATTAGATTTAGAAGCTAATGCGAAAAAAGAAGTTGTTCAAGAAATTGATATCTTACAAGCGTTAAAAAAAGAAATTTTAAGTGAAAAAATTTCTTTATCTGATTCCGAGACTAATACACCACCATTACATCAACCTAAAGTGACGAAAGTAGCAAACATCGAAAAAATATTACCAAAGAAAAGAATTTCCATTGAGAAATATAAAGAAAAATCAACCTCTGCTCCACAACCTTCCCTATTTATTAGTGAAAGTAATAATAATACCTCAAAAGACGATCTTCTAAAAAAACAAAGCTTAAAGTTAACGGAAAAAGAATATGAGCGATTTAATTTATCAACAAACGTGTCCCTTGCTGAAACTTCTGACGAGGAAGACAAGGAAGAAATTTGTCCACCTACCGATATATACAGCGGTTTAGCTCCTAAGTCACCCGATCATGAAGATTTTGCCGACACAGGAATTAAACCTCCAATAATCATTCCTGCGGAGCCGGTAAAAGCGGAAGTTGTGCCTTCAAAAAGCGATGTGGACATGAGAATGATGCCACTTAAACCGCAGTCAAAATTATCGACAGACAACAATAAACTCATGGAGAAGCCATTAGAAGGGTCCAAAAAAGAAACTGAACTAAGTACGATGGAAAATTTATTACCGTTGACAGATCCTCGAGTGAGAAGAGACATCAGTAACCTAAATATTGATAGTGCTATGATAAGCACAATAGAGCATGTTTCTAGAACTCAGACTAACTTTCCACCTAATATGACACCCACACGAATGCCAAAAACGGCACTAATGAGCGGTATAAATCAGACAAAGGTAATTCCAAACATGGTACATAACTTGCCTTCGACAACTATGGGCTATGAAATGACTCCATCCAGAGTATCTTTAGATGGCGAACATTCAAAATTAGATCATGTATACGCTCCCACATTTCCTGTTCATGAACCAAGTAATATCTCAGGTATCGATGGACAAAATAGTGGAATTTTTTCGCGTACTAATTTAGGTCTCAACCAGAATGATATTCAAAATACGTTTTATGTCGAAAATTCATTTATTTCTTCAGAATGTCCATCAACTCCAAATCATTCATTTGGACGACTAGACATGCCAATGACCCCAATCCATACATTTGGCAGGGCAGAAGGACCGATGACGCCTTCTCATCCTTTTGGAAGAACTGATTGTTCACCTACCCCAAGTTATCCTTTCGGAAGAAATGATTGTCCGTCTACGCCAAGCTATCTTTACCCGAGAGCCGATGGTTCATCTACTCCAAGTCATTCTTACGGAAGAATTGATTGTCCATCCACCCCAAGTCACCCTTTTGGAAGATCAGATTGTCCACCTACTCCAAGTCACTCTTTTGGAAGATCAGATTGTCCACCTACCCCAAGCCACTCTTTTGGAAGATCAGATTGTCCACCTACCCCAAGTCACTCTTTTGGAAGATCAGATTGTCCACCTACCCCAAGTCACTCCTTTGGAAGATCAGATTGTCCACCTACCCCAAGTCACTCCTTTGGAAGATCAGATTGCCCACCTACCCCAAGTCACTCTTTTGGAAGATCAGATTGTCCACCTACCCCTAGTCACTCCTTTGGAAGATCAGATTGTCCACCTACCCCAAGTCACCCTTTTGGAAGAACGGATTATTCACCTACCCCAAGCCGTCCATTTGGGAGAAAGGAACATCTTATGACCCCAAATCACTCATTCAGTAGAGGCGACTTTTCACAAAATCAGTCGATATTGCAAAACTCAGGGGACAGGTATAACAATTTTCAGAATGCTAGAAGTAACAGATATTCTGAGAACGATAATTTACGATATTATAGTGAGGATATTGATAGTCGTAAATATAATGAACGTAAATTTAATACACATAATCAAAATTATGAAGAATCCAGACGAAGTTATAATGATTCTTATCGAAATTACGACAGACACGTAAGTCGACGTGAGACTAGTACAGGTCGATCATCTTATAAAAATTATAAATATGATCGACGATGTTCAAAAGACCGTAGTACTGCCTATGGTGCAAGAGATTGTCGTTATGAAGCTGATAGTAGTAAAAGTTACGATAGCCGTGAACCACGGCGTAATGACCAAAGAGAACATAGTGTGGGTTGTAACTTATCAGATGCTAAATACTCAAAAAGTCACAAGGAAAAAGATTATGCAACTGGCAATACTTTATCGGTTCAGTCAAATACAGGTCGTTCATTTACCATTGATACAAGTGTTAACAGGAGTTTTCAAGAAACTGCTTCCAAATTTAAAAACGAATCTAAAACTAGTACAAATTTTGATGCCAGAAGAATACGTGCATCAAGTGTTGGTAGACATTTAGTTCGAGAATCAAGTGCAGAAAAGAAGTTGAATAATGAAAAGACAACAAATTCACCAGATTTAAAAACTAATTTTAGGCGCGCTTGTAGTGTCGGGAGGGAATCTGCAGAAAGCCATTCAAGAAAGAGGTTTGAGGATATAAAAGAAGAATTGCAATCATATAAACATACAGATACTAAGAATAATAAAAGTACCCTCCCTTCTAGTCAAGGTACAGTCACTGACAAAAGAAAAAAGTTAAATGATCGTGATCCTCGGTTATCAAGGCGTGATTGTCAAGACTTAGAAAATTGTAAAAAGGAAGATCAATCTACGAAAGTATCTCTCCATCGAGGAGACATTCGGGATCCAAGGCTTCAGCGCGGACTTACCAGAGATACACAAAACAAACTACATGAAGGAAAATCTATTGATGAGTGTAAAAAACAAGGTATAGTTTATTCTAATGATAATATTGCCAGGGGAACAATATTAGGTACTGGTTATGGTGTCAAAAATTACAAAATTCCAAAAATAAAGAAACCTCAAGTGGAAACATGTGCTAAAGTTGTAGTTGATGACACTAAAGTTGAAACTGAAAAAAAAAGTGAAATAAAAAAGCAAAATAATACAAACGAAACCAACACGTTAAAATTTGTAGAAAACAAAGAAAGATGTGACGGGGATTCGATGTCTGTCTCAAATGAAAAAGTATTATCAAAATCAGAGAATAAAGATAATATTCAAGAAAACGATAAAAACGAAAGTGTGATTGAAAACGTTTCTGTGTCCGTCGAAAAGCGAGTGACAAGATCTTCAACGAAGAGTAGTGGAAGTGAAATATTGAAAGTACTTAATTCGGACAACAAACCAGTTTCACGAAAAACACGCAATAGAATAAAAAAGCCATTACAATATGATTCCGATTCCGATGATAATGTTCTCGTAATCGATACCCAAGTGTCTAAAGAATGTACTGTCGAAGAGGCAATCGAAAAAGACAGTGCCACATTAGATGATAAAGTAACAGATGTTTGGGATAGCAGAAAACCTACAGATAATCCGGGGAATTCAAAAGGGACGGCGTGTGATAGCAAACTCGATGAATCAGAAGGTACAAAGCATTCCGAAAGTCTAATTTCCGCTGAGGATTTGTCAACTTACATACCCGACTCTGATAATTGTTTTGGAATGGACCTTGAAATGTTCTCCGACAGCTTAGCTACTGATCCTGTTATTGAAAATATAAATGAACTTATAGCTGATCTTGACGATGATTTAGAAACGTCTAAAAATGATGGCAATAAAAGACAGTTTACAAAGGAGATAATTCTTGAGAATATGCTTGAAAATATTACGTGTGCTGAAAAAACTGCTTGTGAAAATTCATCTAACGATAGCGAAAAAGTAACTGAAATTAACGAATTTATTAATAAAACAAATGATAATTCCATACCTAATGTTGAAATTAATATTAAACAACAGGTTGATAGCAATAGCGGTGAAGTTTCAACAACAGAAACCGAAATAAAATGTACTTTACCGCAAAAAAAGCTTTCGACATGTTATGATGTTGATGATGATATCTGTTCTACACCCGATAGCACAATTAACGTTAACGAAAATGTTCAAGAATCCACCTGTCAGGAAAAGTTACCAGATAGTACTGGCGTAGAACCTTGTGAAATGAGTTCAGATATAACTTCTACCGAAGCAAAAGATACTGATCAATTAAATTCATCCCATTCCGACACAATTAATCAATCAGACTCCATCGGGAGCTTATTATCTATTTTAAAAGATAAATCAAAAATACAAGAATTACTTACGATGATCAAAGACCAGTCGAACGGGAATGAGAAGTTAAAGAGAAAATTAGAAATGTTGAGTGAAATCGTTTCTGATGACGAAGATTTATCGAATTCATCAAAATCCCTTTCTAGTACGACGGACAATAATAATGAAAAAACTATAGTTGAAGCTACAGCAAAAAGTAACGATGCTATATCTGATTACGAAGATATCAAAGATAAAACGCTAGAAATGAGTACTGACGCTATGCTCCACAGAAGTGTAGAAATTGATTCTACTACTGAGACTGATCACGCACCTGGACCAAGCACTATTTCAGATACTGAGAACAAGGACAATGATGAAAAGGTAAATGAAAATGTTGAAAATGTAGAAAACCGAGAGGCATTCCAAGAAAGAATTGAAAATAAAGATGTGACAGTCGAAAGTGATTTTTTTAATAATAATGAAAAAACCAAAATTGAAAATAAAAAACCTTCCAAAAGAATAAAAGGTAGAGCAAATAATAGTAAAGTTAAGGCCCAAAAACCTCCTACACGGTCTTCAGCGCATTTGAAAATCGATAAACCTCCCAGTACAAAAAAACCTTCAAGGGAACTTAAGCAACTCCAAAATGATATTAAGGAAATGTTTTTGAACGAAGATGTTTTAAATTCTTCTGGAATAAGGATGTGCCGTTTAGCAAAGCTAGTGGAAGATAAATCTTCGCCAGATAAAATCGAGATAAAAAACGATCAAAATGTTGAAAACACCCCAGATGTTACACTTCAAAAAACAAAACAATCTTCTGAAGAAACAACTCCAAAGGGCAAAGCATGTAAGAAGAAACAGACCTTAAAAACAAAGGGGCCACCAAAGCAAAGTCCTTTAAATAAAGAAAAAAATGAAGAGATAACGGAATCTAACCTTTCGGCCAAATGTAAACCAGGGCCTAAATCTAAAACAAAAGTATTAGAACGAACAGATGTAGACCCTTACATGTTCGAATCTGACTCAATTGCCGAATCAAATGATACAAATGGAAGTGAGAAGCAAGTTGGAAGTGGTTCAGAGTCTGATTGTGACTCTCTTGTGTCATCTCAAAGCTTTGGAAGTAATGAACATCTAGTAGAAGTAAAGAAGAAAATGAAAAGAAGACGTGGTCGCGGGTGGCAATCAGGCGTTTTTAAACCAAAAAACAAGAAAAAAAAGATCGAACCAAACTTATCCGAGTTGAAAAACGCTTCAGAATTTTCGGCACAAAGTTTCCTAAATGCTACTGATGACACCTGTTTTACTGACAAAACTTATTGTTTCTCTAAGAACGTAATGAACTATTCATGCCGGCTGTGTCCGTACACCGGCACCGACATCATTCACCATCATAAGAAACAGCATCCTCATTCAGAGATCCCCTTGTCCCGACTGAGCCCAGAAATTGCTAAAGAAGCTATAGAGCAATCTGAAGAATTCAATTTCCAAATTATAAGTCAGTTACCTATTGATAAGTATGTATGTAGATTTTGTTTTGAAGAGTTCAGCAATAAAAAGAAAACAGTATTAGAATCTTTCTTCTGGCACGTCGTTAGTACGCATACTGGCGAATATAAACAACCTTGTTCAGAATGTGAAAATGTGAAGCAGTGTCCTTTTAATTTAGACATTCCTCCACCTCCTAAGGAACCAAAAGGTCAATTAATAGGATACATTTGTGGAAAATGTAATTTTACACAAATTTCACTCGAAAACTTAAAAACACACGTGATCAATCGACATAACAATGAAGATACTGAAGTTTATACAATAAATTTGGGCGTGATGTCGAAAAGGACGTTATCGTTGTTAACAAAACCTACTACTGGGTCGGAGCCCAGAAAACTAAGAAGCAGCCGCGGCGGACAAACTTTGGTCGAAGCAAGCGTTGAACCAAAGAAAGAAATGGAAACGGCTAAAGCTCAGACTGAAACTCTCATAGAAAAACTTGATATTCAGTCGGACACGAAACTTGACAAGACACAGAAAAATAAACGCAAGCAAATGAAATCACAAATATATTTTGAAAATGAAGATGTGACTAAGGAGATATGTGAATTGAGTAAAGTAGCAAATATTAAGGTTGAACCGGAACAGGATAATGATATAGATCATGACACGGAACTTTGTGAGTCGCAGGACGACCCGTCTGACACTAAGGGACAGCAACCACTTACAGACGAGGTCGACACTCGCACACAGGAACTACTTGTACACAAGGTAGTTGTAAACGATCAACAAGACGTAGACGTAGACGAGGCAGATTCCGACGAAAAGCAAAAGTTAGAGGACGACGTTGACACATACGAACAGGAACTATTAGCGGACGACGTCGACACAGACGATGGTCGCGAACATGAAGCACTAGCAGATGATGTAGTCCCCTCCTCGGCTGCGAGCAACGACGTTCTCGACTACCCCCACTTTAAAGTGAATTACAAGAATGCGGGTTCAAAGGAATATGTTTGCTGCATCAACGGCGCTGAGAGCCACTATCGCACTGCGCTGCTAATATCATTTAAAAAACACGTGCAGCTGAAACACACCGAAATTTGGGATGGATTTTGCTTCTTATGTAAACTAATAGTAACACCACAAGGAAAACACTTTTTCAAAGATTGTTTACAGCATTTCCTGGACAAGCACATTGATAATTTTCCCATAATGGAAAATGAAGAAAACCCGTCGAATACCATCGATGCAAATACCGTTTCCCAAACCGTCAAAGTGAGCGAACAAAATCTAAACAAAAATAGTTTGAACGTGCGGCCGCTGTCGGAACTTATCGGTCCGGCGGAGACGCCGCCGCAGACGACGCTGCCC